ATTTGTTGCCACTTGCACCCCACTCTACTTTTTCTCAGCAGTGTGGAAATACAGACAGAAATACTGATTAAAAAAGAAGAGAGCAGATTGTAGACATGGGCATCTGAGTTACTGGGAGAAGGGGCCAAAAGTCCAGGAGAAAATAAGTCCTTAGCTGTTAATTCCTCTGGAAGTGCTAAGATTGCAAGGCTCCCATTGAAGCGTCTGGGAGTTTCAACAGTCAAGAACATGTTTCTCATGTGGGATAGGGATGGTCAGAGCCATGAAATGGAGGCCAATTTGTTTGCAGCCTGGAGTCTTTTTAAAATTTTGCTATTTGAGCCTGTAGAGTCCCTTCCTTCTCCTTGCAGCCTTTTCCACTGGAAAAGCATATGGGAAGTTCATAGGTCTAAGTGCTGCTTTCCGATTGGTTTTGGGTCAAACAGAATGAAAAAGAAACAAGGGCTGAAAAAGAAAAGGAATAAATGAAACCATGAATACATGGGAAACAAATTAACTGGATATGTTTTACGTTCTGAAATATTTCCATAATGCTTCTATGTAGTGTGTGTTTATTTTTCTTTGAATAATAATGTTAAAATGTGTCTAATTCAATTACTCTCTGCACTCACTGAATGAGTTTTCTTTGGTGAAGAGTTCTTCTACACTACCCCAAGCTACGAATTCCATATGATATTTGAACAGGTCCTTTTAATTGCTGATATTAAGTGTCGATCATTCCGCTGTAAGTTGGCAGCATGACCAGAGAAACAAATTCCTCTCTCAGATACATCAGACAGTCATTCAATTAACAACCAAAGCTTTATTGACACAGTAGGAATTCATTATGTGAAATATTAAAAAAAGCCCTCCACTGACTAGTTAAAACAAAAAGGGAGGCTTTTAAAGATGGTAGATTATCTACACGTAGTTATTAAAATTATTCATGCAGAATTTGAAATTATAGTTATGGTGGAAACATTTCTGTCAGAGGTGTAAGCAGCATTTCTGTTGAAAAATAACTTGGACTTTGAAAAGATGAATATAATGTACGCATCCCTATTTCCATAGACAGTGTGCATTTTCTTGTTTAAAAGCCTTAGATTTTAGGAGTTATGGCTTTCGACTTGCTGCATAAAGAGCTTCATGATTTATTCTGTTAGAGTCTAATTTGAAAGAAAGTTCTTCCTCAAGGGTTTAAGAAGTAATTCATAAAATGGTAAGAATAATAAATATTGTGCCTTAACTCATACACTAGGATAGATAGACAGATTTTGTACACCTGGGTGTAATTTTAGTTAATTCACACAAGAGACAGGCTGAAAGTTTATTGTTTGGAAGGAGAAAAATGGCTTAAATCTTGTATTTGCAAAAATGATTATATTAGCTTAAATGAAAATGCTACTCTATTAATGGCTTCAATAAGCTTTGCACTTGGAGAAGTATTTTAATAAAAAGTTACCTGAAGTTTACTGCAACTTAAAATATGTAAGTGAGGGAAAAGTACTTACTTTGATTTATATGTCTTTTGGAGGTGTAATTATTGGCTTTTTACTCACCTATGTAAAACAATGTACTTTTGTAAATGGATTTCTGGCCACTTTACTCCTTTTTTCTTCACATAAAAAGTAAGCACTGTCAATCAAGGAATTTTAAGGTTTATTTCCTCTTTAGAAATGATTGATAGCCTTTTAGATTTACAAGTTGACAAGTTAAAGGGTTCTATTGGTATAATTATGTACTAAATTCACAGTCTTTCAATTTAAATGTCCTTTTAAAACCACAAGATTATCATACCTGTATTTTGAAAAGTGGCCCAGTCAGTTTGGGTTGGTATACAAATTGCTTCCATTAGCCTTGGGACCTATTTGAATTTAATACAGTTTTTAAAAGTTAGTAGTACTTTCAATACTACTTTTAAAATTTAGGGTAATGGGCATTCATTTTAATCACAGGAAGGATTAGCTTGTTTTTAATGTATGAGTGCCAAGAACACAAATAAATTGTTTGTATTCCTTATTGATTTTTTTTTTTTTTCCCAATTTACGGGGAGAGGGGGGGGAGAGGGAATGTTCTTTGAATTAGAGCACTGGGAACTGAGTATTGTGAATGGCCATCAAAGGCAGAAACCAGGCTTAAGAGTACTGGGGACAGAGGCAAAACTTTGCATGACGCTGGTGTCTGACATTCTGCTTTGGCCGTCACGGGGGGTGGCCTGAGCACTGGATCTTCTGCAGGGCACAGAGATCAGAACTCTGCCTTTTCTTTGGAGTTGTGCCAGCTGCTGTCACAGGAACTGGTGTGGCCTGAACGCTGAAGGTGGGGTTAAATAGTTAAACAGGACTCTGAGATACAACTAATTACATTTGACTTTGATTATAAGTGAACTGAGGAATGCAGAGCTGATCTATGGTTAGATGAAGGCAGCTGAAGATTTCTCTTTTTGATTTTAGTTAAGATTGCAAGGGCTGAATGCTTGTAGACTCATGAGTGGTATCTGACAACTCCAGTTTAGGACCCAATCCTGCAAATTGCTGTGTGCAGCCTCTCCTCACCACTAAAGTGAAGCTGAAGCTACTTGAGAGAGAAAGTTTTCAGTATCTCTCAGAGGATGCTTGATGCCTTGTGAGATTGGACCATAAAATTAACATTTTTTATTTTTTTTTTTGGTCATTTAGTTCAGAAAATACTCACAAGAAATACTCTGTGGATTTCAAATGCGTTGAATGTGTGGGAAGATATGAGAAAATGACTGCTATCTCTGGGGGGATTTCAGAACTGGCCTCCATTTATAATATTGCAGAATTTAGTAACTACTTTCCCAAAGGATGTAAAGGGAAAATGGCCATAAACTAGACTGAATTAGAGAAGAAACACATTTGACAGAACCATGCTCAAATCTTCTAACATATTTGCAAAAGAAATGTAAATTAGAACTGGAGGGTTTTTTAACCTCAGACAACAGATATTTTTGATGATAAACATAAACAACAGTAAATTAAATTAATTAATTTAACAGTAAATTAATTTAATCTAAACTAAGTAGGTCCACAATAAGAAGCCATGTAAGGATACTCAAAGGTAATAAAAGTGGGGCTTTGCTAACACAGATACTGTGATATTTGCTGCAAAACTACACAACAGAGTGGATAGCATGTGGCCAGGGTATGAAAGGAAACACATGCAGAAAAGGCCTACCCATCCAAAAAAGGGCACAAGCAGGGGAATAAACCTTATTTTCACCACTTCCTTACAATGACTTGAATATAAATACAAGCACAAATTCAGATATTCCTGTTAAAGGGAAATTAAAGACAAAAAAAAAAAGGACCTCACCTTCTCACCTTTCTTCTGTCTTAATAGGTAGTAGCATCACTGGGCATACTTCTAGAGTTGGGATGTAGTGGAGGTCCAGGAGGACATAAAAATCTGACCTTTTGGTTGCCAGTGGGACTATCTGCTGTAGAAACTCAGTTCGAAAAGAATAATTTAAATGGAATATTTTATTTAAAAATTTGTTTGTCAGTTTGTTTATGGAGCACCAATTAATATAACAAGTCAGGGATTAAATAGTACTTTCATGGTAACAATATGGTCTGGATAAAGGTCTTTAACCTTAGGAGTAAGAATAAAAGGTTTCTTCATTAAAAAGGTGGGAGTATAGATGTGATGGAGTTGTGTAACTTGCTGTGGGATAAGTATCATTGAGCCAAATGAGAATGCTTGTGCAAGTGAGACTGGGATGTATCGTTTGATGCTAAATCTCTTTTCAGGAATCAGATGGCATAATAAGAACAAAATTCATAATCAAACCATCATAAAGTATTGATGCAAGATGTATTCATAATTTAGTAGGCAGACCTTGCGCAAGAAATCTCTTTTGTTGTTGTTGATAAACTCAGACATAAGAAAAACTTCCCAGTGACCCAAAAATGAATAAATAAATGTTTCTTTCCTACCAGAAAAGAAGTCTAAAAATATAAAAATCCATATTTTCTTTTTTAATAATAATAATAAAAAAAATAAATTGCAAACAAATTACTGTGGAAAATTTCATCATCTCTCTCTTGGCATGGGAGAGTCAAGATGGGCTGTTGTTTAGAGACACTTGAGAATGCTTGACTGTTCACCAAAGCACTTAGGAAATTTTAAGCACGTGTTCAAGTCTCACTAGCATCTGAGTTTTAAAGTAATCATATGACTGGAAATATAGCTAGAAGGTCATTTAATGCAGACCCCTGTAATTATAGGCAATCATATAAAAAACATAATATGCTCAAATTTGCTTTGCTGAAAGCAAATGGGTTTAAGGATGTGCTTACAGATAAGCACGTGCTTAAAGGCTTGGCACAATCAGAGCTCTGATTAATGCAGGCAGACCAGCATTTTCATGAAGATAAAAGTGTTCCACTTCCAATATATCTCTGCTCCATTTTACTGGGCAAGGACTGGTGAAAGATGAGCTAAACCCAAAATTTTTATTGCATTTTTTTTAAGTCATTGAGTCTTCTGGATCAGTTTAGTGCTGATCGAATGAGTAAAAAACAAAGCCTTGGCCAAAACAAATGCTGGTAGTTCACAACAAAATTATGTGTGATGGTTGCACATGGAGCATATTACATGTGTAATAGAATCTATAACAAGAGAGACTCCCTAATAGTTATGTGTTTTGTCTTCCAATCACAAAGCACCTTCCTTGTAATATGAAAGTAGGAAAAAAACCCAACATGAAATGCAGACTGCAAAGTATTTATCAAATTAATTTCATCACAGCTTTCAGAGATAATAATTGCTTCCTATTTGGAAGACGTATGCAACCTCCCCATTGCTGTTTGAACCAAAGCCTCAAAACCAGCCTCAAACAGCTTTTAAACCCAGACTTCACAGTCAGTGCTGATTTCAGGGAAAGGGAATCTCTCTGTGGTCTTTCCTTGTTCCTGCCATGCTTTGCCTATTGTTACAGTGCAACGGAGCCTGCTTGCTACGTGTTTGTCACATCACCATCTTGTTTGTTGTTTCAGCTCTGAACGAACCCACCATTGACTATGGTTTCCAAAGGTTACAGAAGGTTATTCCCCGGCACCCTGGTGACCCCGAACGCTTGCCAAAGGTCAGCCAAAATTTGTTGTTTTATTAAATATGGCAAAGCTGGTTACTGCATGTTTTTGCTGAAAGTGTAGGACTCTCTAAATGTAATGGTCCCAGTTTGGTACCCAACCAGAAAAGATGAAACAGAGACATGATCAATGAAGCCCCATCAGCAACTTTCATGGTAGATTTATGAGACTTCTGTGATTTGCTGAGTCTCAGCTAACTCAAACAGCTCCTGCTTTTCTTAAAAGCAAATCTTATTCTATGTTCTGAAATAATCAACAAAGAACCTCTTTTTGGTTGGTATTTTTGAACCTAAGCAGCTTAATTGTAGAATAATGATGCTTCTTCACAGTAGCACTTGTCAATGTAATTTTGAGAACTTCACCACTGATATCAAGTCATTTGGATCTTTAGGGAATGTGTGCCCACTGCTGTTGCACCATGTATTGGTTTAACATAATTATTACTATATGCTGCTTTATTTCAAGATTGCTAAAATAATTAGATCAATGCATAGTGAAGTGATTTAATGTTCATTCCTATCCAAATCAGTCAGAATTTTCTTGTCGATTTCTGTCAAGTAAAAGCTGAGAAAGGAACAGAATCGTTCACGTAGCTTTTAGTTCTGTCTTGTGCTGTGAAAATGTCTACACTCACATCTCTTCTTGCTACTTTGCCATACAGTACCTTCTCTGGCAAAAAAAATGTGATAAGCTTTGTGATATACTGGAGAAAGAGGTGGGGGAATTTGAAAAAGTGTTTCTCGTTTCCACAGGAACACTGAGCAATAGTGTGCACGGGCTGGAGTCACAGTATGTCAGCAGCTGCCACCATGTGTTGTATCTGCTCCAGCATCATGGCTGTCAGTTAGTGATCTGGGCAGTCAAATAGGCCTGGTGGGTGTATTTGAAGGACACCACCTTTGACTTATGGAAAGAAAATGAGAGTTTGGAGACCTGAGACTTAGAAGAACTTGGGCTTTGATGCCTCAGGCCAGATGTCTTAATGCACATCCAGTGTAGTCTTTGTGACTGGGTAAATCTTGCAACCTTTCTTCCATCGTTTCCTGAGCTGTAAGGGGGCTTTCAGCAGGGATTGTTGTGAGCTTTGATTAGTTACATTTCAAAAGTGAAAAGCATTCAAGAACACCACCATTTATTTTGTTTCATTTCTTGGCAGAAATGAAATTCAGAATGTAATTTTATTTTATTTTTTTTTTATTTTTTTTACAGGTTAGTTAAGTCTTTTATCTTTGCTGAGGAAAGCTATAGGCTGTGGTTTCAGGGTCGATGATGTGTTGTCCTTCTCTCTTACTACTAGAGAAACATGCTGTCCTGGAGAGTTACATTTTACATTGGCTCTGTTCATCCTCTACAAGCTGTCCCTTCACTGACTTTTGGACAGATTTGCAGCAGGACATAGCTTTCATAGGTTGTCAAATTTCCCTCTGGAGGTGTAACCCTTTCCAAAGAAAGAGAGCATCCTTCCTGTAGGGGCTCTTTCATCTCTATCATGCCTCTGCTGCCAAATATGCACATTGAGAGAAACTGATTCTAAGAAAATAAGACACCAGGCATTTGTGAGGACAAAAGAAGTGCTGTAAGATTTCCCTGAACCCAGCTTTCCAGCTGACTTATAGATGGCTGTGGCTTTCCTCTAAATGAGGAAATTCAAGTAAAATAGGACAGAGAAATTCCAAATTGTGTCATACAGCTGAGGACTGTAAATCCTCACAGGCATTGGGCCTCTTTTCTGACATCTGGTGGGTCCTCAGCAATGCCCTTTTGTGCTGGTATAGGACTGCAGCTATCAGGCTGAGCACCCTCCTTTTTCCCATTTAGATTAAGACTGTTACCACACTGATGACCACACTCCTGTTATCTAGTGTCATGGGACATAAAAACAGGCCAAAGAAAGCTCCATCTGTCTCCACATCCTGGCTCCAAGCTTTAGCAGGTATTTATGGGTAGGGTGTGAGAAGGAGAGTTAGTACCAAGTCATCTTTCCCCTCCTATACCCTCCTGGTTTAATGAGTTTCTAAGTATATTTTCAAGCCAGTTTTTCAAATCTTTAAATCAAGGGAAGTTGTATTTATGCATGTGGAGGTATGATGTGATGCCCCCTGAAAAAAAAGCTGCTGCTTAAGGACTGAACAAACTTAGGGAAGAAACTAGTGTCACTGTGCAAGGTTAGAGGGAAACAGGATGAAGAGGACTTTTTTTTTTTTTTGTCTTTGGGTAATTTCTTCTGTGGAAGCTTGAAGGTTGGACCTCAAGTTCAAGACTCATTAATATGCCATGCACAGAGGCTGGATGCAGCGGGGGTTGGCACATGTTGACTTCTGTATTTGAGGCACTGATGGTTCAATTCCCAGCACCACTTGCTGGCTGCAGGATCATAATGAAGGACGCAGCGCGTCTCTGTGCCGGGCGAGCGCTGCACAGCACTCTGCCCCGTGTCATTAGGCCAGGAAAGACTTTGGCAATATTCCACTATAGACAATGCTCAGTGGCTACTTAGGAGAGAGTTGGAAGCCATATGGCTTTCACAGTGCAACCATGTGCAGAGAGGGCAAATGTATGAGAGAGACAGGGAGACAGCAGAGAGGAGGGCAGCGCTCAGGACTTTCAATATCCTTGTTTCCATTTTCCCCACTGTCCTGCCAGTGCATCATCACTTTCTCTTTAATAAAAGGCTTGCACTTGTGCATTAAATAAATAAAACAAAGCATAGTTCTGCAATTGCTGCTAGGGGTTATAGACATTATTTCATTGAAACATTACTGATGAAGTAAAGCTCTTTTCAAGAAACAGGAATAGTTATGGTGTTTTTATTCATAAGGGTATGCAGTCCTTCCCATGGGCCAGCAAGAACATTCTGCTCTCTGACTTTTCCCTGCAGTCAAGGAAAATTGTTGAGGCCATCAAGTCAGTTTTAGCACATGCTCTACCCTCCAGAGCTGAGAAGTTCAAAGCTGTATCTCTGTCAACAGGCATTTTTAAAACAATTGAGTCTACTTGAGAAGTTTGATCTCCACTAGAAGCAGTATTTTCAGAAGTGCCCACTGTTCATAGTTGGTTTGTTGTTTTTTTTAATTTTTTTTTTTTAATGTTCCAGCTATATGCTGGAAGTAGGCAAAGAAAAAAAGCCAATTTTTGATGTTTTCTGTGTCTCCTAGTGCCTTAGAAGCAGTGGAGAATGCCCTACAATAGTGAGGAGAAGAGAGTATCTGGGAACTATGGTCTTTGGACTGCTGGACTGACAGCTAATATAGATGTGTTTCAAATAGAAGTGCAATATGTAATTTCTGGAGAAAAAGGAATGGGAGATGATATTGGCATCCGAGCTATGAAGTGAGCTGTGGATCAGAGACCTGTTACCTTCTTGTCCAGAGCAGGTCAGGGAGAACAGCCAGTGTATGGTTGCCACTAGCAGATGTGCATGTGTGTAGACACGCACATGTACAAACATGCTTCAAGAGGAGATCCAGGCAGCACGGAGGTGGTGTGATTAGTACCCAAAGCCTGGAGTGAGATCAAGTACCAGGAGTGTGCTGAGCAGTATAGTCTTTCTAATCCGGACAGGAGGCAGATCAGAGGAAGTATGAGATCTCTGAGGAGAAATTGAAAGAAATACCATGATGCTAATATTAAGAAATCGTGCTGTTGTCCTCTAGGAGTAGTTTGTAGAAAGCCTGTCTGTGGAGCTGGGGAATAAGCCTCATGTGTGTGCACTTTCCCTGTCTCATGTGTTTGCATATGTGCACACAAATACACACGTGTTGTTGGTTCTTGCATTCATAAATGCAGTGGAAATTATTTAAGAGTTCAGATCACAACAACATGTTGAGTCTATTGAAGTTCATTTATGTAACCACCCTACAACCCTTAAAATAAATCCCTGGCAGATACATTTTGATTCTGCAATTTTGTTAAAACTCCACAGCTATAGCTGTAAAACAGTTTCAACTGTGAGTTAGATTTGAAACACACCCATCCTCAATGATTTAATAACAATGATTCCTCTTTATATGCAATTTCCTAGAATTTATTTGCCATTCTCACCACTCTTACAACTCATCACTTGTATTTAAATTAAGCACAAGATTGTTCACCCTGTGTTTGAGAAGCAAATCATTGCATCGACCCCCTCTGTGATCTGACATCCTCTTCCTTCCCAGTCTGTTGCTTAAATGCTCTCTTTAGGAGACCCGTTATCCCCCCTGAAAGGGGACCTTTGCTTCTGGTTTCTCTTCATGTAGATGAAAGTGGAGTCTCTCTCTAGCACACAGGGGCCTCCCCACTGAGTGGAGAGCATAGGGAACCAGGCTCCACCTTCTCTTCAGCTCCTTTTCTCTGGTCAGTCGTTAGATTCTCCCAGAAGACATGTCCTACCTCCTCATTTAGGACTCTAATAGAAGACAGGTGGTTATTAGGAACCAGTGGCTGTCAAAAATACTTGTCTTTTCCCATATGAAACCCCACAGATCTGCCCTTTATCCATCATGACATCGTTTATATTGCAAATAAAGCTCCTCTCCAAATGTGGGTGGTTGGCCCAGGCTTGCTAGGGGACATTAAAATAGCAATGAAGTCAAGGCAATTCAGGCTGGCTGCTTCAGGCAGACCCAATGGAAATTCCAAAATGGATCTCCATCTGCTAACTCCAGTTACTGTATTTTAATCTAAGTTAGTAATTTTCAGCTAAGAAAATGCATATTTGGTTTGGGATTTTTTTCCACTCATTGTAAAAAGAGGGTTGTTAGAAAACTCTTATACTAGGCATGGGCAGGAAAGGGGAGCATGTGAAGAGGAGCTGTTGGGAGTTCATTTGTATAGCAAGGAGGGTGTGAGATGTGTTTGGTGGTTTCTAAGCTGTACTGTAAAATATATTTAATTTATTCAAATAATTACCAAATAATTAATTTATTTGGTATTGCAACATTAACAGTTGGGTTTGTTTCATTTCCTGACAATCTGGGCCTTTAGTTGGTCAAGGGCCTTGTGGGATTTTTAG